GGGTGCCCCCAAATGGGGGGAGGGCGCGGGCAGAGGGGTGCCCCGAGGACTGGGGGGTGCCCCAGGGTACGGGGGTCCCTCCAGTTGGGGGGGGGCAGCCCAGGGATATGGGGGGCGCCTGGGGTATGAGGGGTCCCCACAAGTGTGGAGGTGCCCCCGGGCGTATGGGGTGCTCCTGGGGTAAGGGGGTCCCCAAAAGTGTGGAGGTGCCCAGGGAAGAGGGGTACCGCAGGCAGATGTGGGTCTGCCCTAGAGTATGGGGGTCTGCACAGGAATGGGGTGCTCCAGGGATATGGGGCTGCCCCCAGGGAAAAGGGGTGTCCCGCGGGCTGGATGACCCCAGGGTTACCCCAAAAGCATGGGGGCCCCCCCGGGGAACAGGGGTGACCCAGGGTGAGGGGAGGATGCCCCAAAGGGATGGGGATCCCCAAAAGCGTGGGAGAGCCCCAGGGAATGGGGACACCCTAGGGGGACTGTGAGGATGCTTGGAGCTGGGGGGGTGCCCAAAACTTTGGGGGTGCCCCAGAAGAGCATGGGGATGTCCCCAGAGAATAGCGGTGTTCTTGGAGCTGTGGTGGTGCCCCAGGAGTATGATGGTGCCCTACAACTGTAAGGGTGCCCCCAGGGAACAGAGGTGTCCCAAAAGTGTGGGGTACCCCTAAAACTGACAGGCACCCAAAAGCTATGGGAATGGGGGTGCCCCAAGGGTTTGGGGTGCCCCAGAGGGTGCCCAGGGGTGCGGGCTTCCCACAAAGGCAATAGGGTTGCTCAGGGGAGTAGGGGTGCCCCGGGGTTACAGGGGTGCCGGGGGGGTCCCCCCAAGTCTGCGGGGCTGGCGCAGGGGCACGGCTCCGCCTGGTGGCACAGCTCGGCTCCGCTTGGCACAGCATGGCACAGCCAGGGTAGGAGGGACACAGGGCTCTGCTCTGGGGGGTCCCCCGCAGCACCCCCTAACAGGGGCAAGCCAGCCCCACAGTGCTCCTGTGTCCCCCAAAATCCCGGCACCAACCCCCGCTCTATCAACGGGGAAATTGAGGCACGGAGA